CCTGACTGTAGGCATTTGTCGTGTTTTAAAGGAAACCTTGCGTTGTAGAATGTTGGGGAGGCGGTGGTGAACTCCTGATTTAGCAACCATTAATGAGAATTTTTTGACCGTTGTTGCTACCTTGGGTCATGTTTATATAGACCTGGTAAGTTTTAAGCCAATTTGTAGGTAGACACGCCTATCGAAACCTAGCTTCACTAAAGTGATTAATTTAACCACACTTAGGGCCCCAGAAAGCTGGAAATGGTGTTCGTTGAGCTTCAGAAAAGAAGCATACAGAAGTGCACAGATTGGTCAATCCCAGCACCAATTGGGTTGATAAGTCAACACATGGCACAGTAAATTCAACTAGTTTAGAAAGTAGTGACAGAGAAATTCAGCCTTATGTAATCGGCGGAGTCAAGGCAGTATGGAAGGTGCTTGTCGGCCTAGGGAGGCAATGGCAAGAACCTGCGTGTCCGGTGGTCGATAGGTTTGCACGCATCTTCCAGTCACATCATCACTAGGTGGACCAATAGACTCGCTCCATGCCCATCGATCACAGCGCACGCACGCACCACCGCTACCCGTGTGGGTGCAGGAGGGGAATGGTGGAAGGCCAGGCCAAGGCGAGGTAGACCTCGTTTCACTTCCCTTCAAGCCTCTGGACAGTTTCATTCCTATCCGTCTTTTCATTTGACTTTCATACAAGCACGACTCTACCAATGGAGGCGATAAAGAAAAAGATGTTGGCTATGAAGTTGGATAAGGAGAATGCTATTGATCTGTGAGTTCCACTTTCCAATCCTTCTTGTCAGTTTTAAACGTTTTTTTGAAAGAATCGTCCATAGTGATGCTTAAATCACCCATCAGTAGCTCACTTTTAGTTGCAAATGTCTTGGCGATTGTGCACTTCCAAGTGCAACGCAGCCGCGCACAAATTTCTCGCCAAATACTGCTACGAAATTAGTCTTGTACAATTTTAAACCTTCTGGGGTGTCGGGAAATACTGCTTCAATGCATCTTCAGCAAAAATGACTGGTTGAGATAGTGTAAATTTGCGTCCTGATGCGTGGGGACGTGTTGACAGAGCAACATTACACGAAATTTAAGTAGTGTGTCCTTTTTCCTGAAATCCATCGAAGATGGATTTGGTAAGGCTTTAGTAAATGTGCCGTCACACTTAGCTTGAATAATGTTTCATTTTTTGACAACCATGTTTAACGCTTTTGCAAAGGAGTCACTTTAAAAATGAAAGCTGCACCTACTTTGAAGCCCCAAACTGATGTATGCCTCACTTAGTTTTGGCTAAAAACGGTTAAAAATACGGTTAAAATAGGGTTAAAAAGATTAGTGCAGGAGTGAAACTGGGCACTGATTTTGCCTAGGGCGGATCAGTTGGAGGAGCAGTTGAAGGAAAAGGAGACGGAGATGTCGAAAAAGGAGGAGGAGATGGGTGACGTAGTAAAACGCTACCAGAGTCTGGAGGCTGAGAAGGAAGCAGCTGAAACTCAACTGGCTGAGACTAATCAGAAGCTTGAGGACACCGAAAAGCGTGCTCAAGAGGTAAGTACTACAGCTGTCATTGTCATGCAATTTATTATCGCATTACAAACCCATGGGTCAGTGATCGGGTGGGTGGAGGCTAAGCGAATAAGTGGTGAGAGAAAAGACAAGAAGTCGGGGTGGGGCCCAGTAAACGTGAGTGGCTGTCAACTGACAACCTCTTCCCATCCCTCCTCTACCTTTCCCCATCTGATTGGCTGAATGGCTGCCCGACTGAAGCATCGTCGTTATTCCTCGACCTCCGCCTCCGGGCGACGGAGACGCGGCGGTCAGAGACGCAATATTCCGTCACCTCATGGGCACCATCGCCAAA